GACACCACTGTTTCATGTTCTGTTTTTTGATTTTTCATAGACTTATCCTGCTATCTACCAGCACCTGATTTTTGTTGCTGTGCTCGGGGAATTTCTTCCCACTCTCCCTCATCAGCCCTGCAGATACTTAACCAGTTCATCCCAGTTGCAATGTTGGTTTTGGCTTTGTGCTTTAGAATTTGAGTTTGAGTTTTTAGTTATATGTTACCTGGACCTGTACCTGCCTGCCTGCCTGCCTACCTGTAACTGCAAGTACACATAATCAATAAATCATTAAATCAACTCGTCAGCCCCGATTGTCTGCTTTTGGATAACACAACAAGAACAATGAACAATGAACAATGAACAATGAAGAAAACATGATGGCAATGCAGTATTTACATCTGTAGAGTCATGTGCTTCATGTACACAAAGATTTATTTGCAAAGTCTGGTTCCATCGCATTTATTGATACATTGCCTTCCAATTTTTCCATCTCAGCCAAGCATGAGAACCTATATTGTCTTTTTTGTAATTTCCACTCAAATTGTGCTTAAAAACAGTCGGATGGAAATGCAGTTTCAGGAACACTGAGCCTTAGTCATAACAAACACTGTTATAATTCTGAGTCATAAAATGAGTGATGTCTTAAGTGTTTCTGAGATGACAAGCCACAAGGGGAAAACCATTACTGGACAAGTCAAAAGATCAAATTGCTTTTGGCAGTAATCTCAGGCGATTGCTTTGCACTTTACATCGAGGACACTGAGGAAAATACCCGAGTTCTTCTTCACTGGCAAATCTATTCTTCTGGAGGTCTTATACGGTGGTGTCTAGATAGCAATCATAGGAAGAAGCTGAGTACATTTACTTAAGTACAGTACTTAAGTACAATTTGTAGGTACTTGTACCTACCATGAATATTTTGTTACTTTATACTTCTACTCCACTACATTTTTGAAAGCAAGCATTGTACTTTTTTCTCCACTACTTTTATTTGATAACTTTAGTTACTAGTTACCTTGATTTTACATACAAAACATATATAATCAATTTATTAAAAATGATGCTACTTTGTCAAATTATTAAGACAATATTATCTTTACCAGCTGCAACATTACAGTGATTAACACATTAATGCATCAATAAGCATAATACAATAAAATAATACATTATGCAGAAATGGCCCTGAGTACTTTTGGTACTTTTACTTAAGTAAGAGATCTGAGTATTTCTTCCACCCCTGTCAGAAAGTCAAAGTCAGAAGCAAGGAGAGTTTGAACTTGATTGATTGTCTGTGTCTCCCTCAATGAGTGATGAATTACCTCTGTTGACCAGTTCACAAAATGAGCCCAGCAAACTAATTTAGCGTAAATACAACTCCATTTGCCAGAAGGCTGCAGCAGGATCATAATGGCTGTGCCAGAGTGACATAAAATTAATTTTTATACTCTATTACACTTCCAGTTAACTGTGAAGTGGTGAGGTTTTAAACAGAATGGTAAATAGCAGCACACGCATCTCTCCCGGCTTTTCTACCATGTCATTTTTCATTGTTGTTGTTACATTTTCTAATCTGAAGAATAATTTCCTGTGGGAGCCTCACATTCAGCCAGGTGAAATTATTAATCATGAGTTTGTGTTATATTGAGAAGCAGGTGAAGAGGTTTTTGAGAAGGTTACGATTAGATAAAACACCACACCACCATTTGGAGCCGCCAAGGTAACTGAGAGGGAGCACTGATAACTGATATCTCAGTTGAAATGAAGCCCACATAAACAGCAAAGGTGCTATTTGTCTGTTAGGACCTGAGGTGTCCAGACAACAAGTGTGGGCAGGTCAAGGAGGGACAGCAGGGATGCTGATAAGTGATTATCTCTTAAGAAGGTGTGAGTCAACAGATGTCATGATCTGAAACAGAAAACAACGACCCCTCACCTCAAAACATTTGCAACCTCACTGTTAAAGCTGCAAAATGTCAAATTAAGCTGCATTAAAGAATATTTTATATTAATGTTGGGTCAAATGTCTGATATGTGCAGTAATGTGAAAGAGGTCTTTTGTAGTGATGAAAGCTTCCAGTCACAGCAGCCGGACATATTTCAGCAAAAATGCCCAGATATGACTGTTTGCTGCCTGTCCTGTGGATGGACGAAAACCTGACCGGCTGGTGAACATACTGGAGCATTTAGAAACTTAGGTTTAATTGCTAAGAGCTAAAAAGAGAACTAATATTTAACAAAATAAATGCTATATTTAGTAGTAGTAAAAGCAGAAATGCATTCTGTCGAGATTAGGTTTTGTACAATATTTTGGTCATAACCACTTGTCAGGCAAAGTTACTACATGTAAAATACACTACATGGCCAAAAGTATTTGCACAATACTGTACATCCATTTCGGATCACATCCATTACCATGGGTATTAATCACAACCTTTACTTTTCCCATGAGATTTGAAATCTGATGTTGGAGTCAGGAGTCTGTGCTGGCCAGTCAAGTTATTCCTCACCAAACTTGGAAAACCATTTCATTTTGAGTCTCATTTAATGCATAGGGACATTGTCACAGTAAAAGGACCTGCTTTAAACTGTTGCACCCCTTTTGAATGCATAATATTGTCTAAAATATCATATCATATCATTGTATGCTTATAATTCCCCTGAATATTTCCCTGAAATGGATTTACGTGGCCTAGCCCAGGCACTCCAGACAGTCCACTGGTTACTCCTTTTTTTTCCACAATATATCATTATCCAGCATTGTATAATTGGCTGTGGAAATATTACATCATCACTGCAAAAACTGGTTCATTCATTGTGTTGCTTTCTATTGATAATGTTCTTGGTGTACTCAGAGCACAAAAGGAAGTGGTTCAACCAAGAGAGATGGGCAGAACAGCAAGAAGGTGCAAATGGAAGATAGTGTAACCACCGAATTAAACCCTCAACAACTCAACCTCCTTAAGTAAAATGTAAAAAGAAGCCTTTGATGGAGGAGGCAAGAATGTAGTTCAATGCCCAGCAGAAGAATAGAGCACACATCTGCTGAGAATTCACTTTACGTTTATTTTATTCAACAAGTTATGGACAGTGACACACTCTGGAGATTAAATTAAGACAGTCTGGCAGCAAGCACTCATAGCAAAATAAGCCAGCTCTATACCTGAATAAAAATGTGCAGATATCAGGCTGTTAGTGGTTAATGTTGGGATTAGGGCCTTTGTTGGTGAAGACGCACTTGGCAGGAGGGTCAGTCTGCTCCTATTCATATCTGAATTAATGAGTTGTAGCGTTTCTGAAGCCACTGTGAAAACAGGCGGGGTCAAAATGTTGAAATCTATAACTTTAGTAACATGTTTTACCCTGTAGACATGGGTGTGTGTCCCATTTCAAATCAACCACTAATCATAACATGACCACAGTCTTTTCAACTTTTTGTTATATTTGTTGAAATTCTCTTTATATTTAGACAGCAATAAAACAAATTTGTAATCACCATCATTACATTTGTTGTCTAATACTATTTTCACAGTTGTACAAGTGCATCCCGTAAAAATCTCAAAGGCCCATGGCTATCTTCAACCTATATTGGAAGTGAGATTAGCTTCCTACAAGGCTGCACTACATACATAATAAGGGCAAATGAAAGGATGGGTCAATTTTAAATGCTGGTAATTACCAATCGTTGCTGTCCAGGTTTTTGGAGAATCTCCAATATCAAGGTTCTGTTTAGTGAGGGAGTTGCAGCCAATCTGGTGTCTGTTTTATCAGATCTAAACTGTGAAGATGAATACAACTAAACAGAAATATGTAAGGGTGATTTTACAGTGGGTTTTACATGGGACAGTTGATTAAAAAGCTCAAAAGACCAGATTTTTTTACGTTTAGGCATGAAAAAAAGTAACAAAAATTGTACTGCAGACAGTTTATTTGTCTGATTGACTACATATTACTACAGTATATGGGGAGTTTTCACAGAGGTAAAGAATGGCAAATTGAGCTTTTTCCATGTTCAATTTCTTTTTCCTCTTCAATACAACTTGCTACTAGTGTTTCCATTGATTCTGACAGAATAAAAAAAAAAGCTTTTTCATAATTCAAGTCAATGTAAAGGTGTTTGAAGAGCTGTATTTATGGATTAAAAGAAAACATTATGTAAAAGTTGCCTACATGTGTTTTTCAGTGTTAAAGTTAACTCTAAATGGACAACACTGGAGTTTAGATGTAATTGATACTAAGGTCATCATCACCAAGTACATTGGTGCACAGCGTGGGCGGATCTTCTATTCAGGAATGGTGAGTGGCCGCAATGGTTGTTGTCGCATTATTGTCTATTTTTTTTAGTATCTAAAAATCAGCAGTGGGGACTTTTATTTTGCTTTTCACAGCTGCTAATGACACATTGAAAGAGAACAAGGTAAAATAATAAAACACATCTCTTGCCATGACATTTGTGTCAGTCCCTGACATTTGAAGATAAATCCTTTCTTTATATCGTACAGACGATCCTGCTTTCAACAGTTGACGGTCAAATGTCACTGAACTGACAAGGCCTTTTAGAATTTCAGTGATTCCACTTCATCTGTGGGTTGTGTACATCCTATTTTTACTGGATTTAATCATCCCTCTTACAGTATTCATCCTTGTTATATTGTGTAATGTTATAACAAGACTAAGAGTCTAGAGACTGTACTTCCACCAGTGGTGCTTTTAGTGAAAGGCTGATGTTAGCATGCTAACACGCTCACAATGAATATTTTGGGGGAAAAACTGAAAATGAAAGTTTAGCAGGTGTTATATTTACCAGGTTTGACATCTTAGTTTACAGTGTTAGCATGCTAACATTTGCTAATTATTTAGCACTAGCACAAAGCACAGCTGAGGCTGATGAGAGTCACATTATTTTTTGGCTGTGGACCAGAGTATTCGACAAACTGAAATTTTGAACTGATTATGGTCAAGTCATTTGTCATTTTCTCCACAGTGACATTCTTGGTTTGAAATGGCCTAACCAAACATCCAATGGTCACTCTGTGTTTTATTGTTCAAGGTTGAAGCTTAACTGAAGATATTGCTGAACAACATGACATTTAGAATCACAATATCAGAATAAACGCATATACAAGAGAACACTTAATGTAAAGCAGAAAACACACATACAGTATTATAGAGGACCTTGATCCTAATGGATGTACATTAGTGTCTGTGGAAGAAGTGCAGCACAATTTGCACACATTAAAAAGCAATAAAAGCAGTCATTAGTATTAAATTAAACGTGCTGAAATGTGTTTTACACTAGCACTTAATAAACTCTTCATACTATGTCATTTATTCCATGCTGATTAAACTGAGTCACATTAATTTTGTTGGCTGCCTTCTATAAAAATAAAATTATGGAGGCCTAATCACTTAAAATAGAGCAACTCAAAACCATTTAAATTAAATTAAATGCTTTTTTCTGTGAAAGTTAAGCGTGTTAAAAAAATGTATTCAGTGGTAGGCTACATATAATTTTATATATACTAAACATGTTAATTTACATCTTTAGTTACATTAAGGTGGCCATAGCAAAAGGTTTGTCCACTTCTGTTTTCAAAATGTGCCCAGATATGAGCTGAATTAATTAAAAACTCTTTTGTCATGGCTGAATATGACAACCCAAAAGCACTCTGGTTTTCCTTTCAAGACACATTCATGTAACTCAAATGGAGCCTTGATGACAGCAAGCCCCACAGTATCTACAATTCAAATGAGAACTGCATTAGCAATTTTCTATGGGTCATAATTGGAGTTCTGATTTTGAATGTCACTGTGTGGGATGGATAGAAAAGAACTGCATCTAGAAAGGGGAGAGCTGGGAGGACCTAGTTGATTTATTAACAACCACAGACTATATATCCATCACTAAACAGCAGCTCCCTGAACAAGTTCTCCAACAAATTGCTCTGTCACAACAGGGCACAGGCCATGCAGGTTGCCTCAACCATTTGGAAGTTAGTCCGTTTGACAAGATCATACAAGCTTGTTTCTAAAAAGTGTGACAACTTACACCAACAAACAACACCTGGCTATACTGGCTGAAAGTGCACATGCCTGTGTATGTGCACACATCAGCAAGGACTGTGTGAATGTTTGTGTGGTAAACACTGTCCATGCTTCACCGGTCGCAAGCTCCAACTCATCATATTTGGCAGTAAAGTAAGTCAGTAAGTATTTATCTGGATGCTGGCTTTGGTTTGTTGGAGTATCACCAAACAAAAGCATAACTTTAACCCTGTGTTATCCTGAGCTAACAGCTACACAGCTGGTTAAATGTGGTTAAAAATGAAAACATGACTTAAACAGCAACCTCCATGAAAATATAAGTAAAAGTGGTGTTGTTTTTAGTGTTTTGATTTATAGTTTGGGTTGTAACTTAACAGGAAAAGGAGATGGGCAACAACATCAACATATAGCCACATTTTTTAAAGAAACAGTATGACTATTTGGGAAATGGTTGGGATAGGGAAGTAAAGAAACTAAAGATGGTTGTACGAATACAGAGCTGGTCACTTAAGGATAGAAAAATACTGCAAAATGAACATATTGTTGCCTCTGCCACTGGGACCTCCTCTTCATTTCACTAACTGATGCCCCTCAGAAGCAGTGCTCTTTCTCTCTCCCTTCCCCCTCCTGTGTGTTCATATGTTGTGTGAGTGATTGTCTGCAGGTGTGCTGAAGTCATGGTGGAACCTCACAGCTGTAGCACATCACTGCAATCAAGAGTTCTTCTTGTGCTGCGTTCCAGGCAACTGGGAACTCGGAAATTTCCGACCTCCAACTAGAAGAAGATGGAACACCACCTGAAGTCGGATTTCCTAATTGGGAACTCGGAGAAAAAATATGTACCCCAACTTTGCGAGTACCAGCCGAAAGACGTCATATAACAATTTCAGCTCCCGTGGAAGCACACATTGTAAATGGTAAACAGTAAACTAAAAGGCAATGTAAAGTATTAAATTAAAATAATACATACTAGTATCAAACTGCTTCATTACAGTCTCCAGCTTCTTTTGGCTTTTCCCTTGGAAATCCCTCTGAATCAGCTACCTCCTGTTCCCATGGTTCTGTCCTGCTCCAGTCCTCAGCTCGCTGCTCCAAGCTCCCATTCCCCTCATATCATTTTCTTCTGATTCCTCTACAATAAATGCACTTGAACTCTCTCTTAGTAATAAATGCCTCTTGTCTGTGTCTGCACCTAGGTTCAATAGTTCCATAGCCTTTAACTAACATAACAGCATTTTATTTGACTTAAATTACATTCAGTGACTGACTTTGGCTGATGAGGCATCAGTTTTTGTTTGGTTTTCATGTATTTCTGTATTAAGTCTTTATTAGGAATTATTATTATGGAAACTCATTACAGTAACTCCAATATTACATGAATGCAGCATATGTGGGGGTGGGGGAGATGTTGCAGTGGATAAGACACATGCCTTTGGTGTGAGAGACCTGGGTTCACCATTGCCATTGGGTCCCTGAGCAAGACACTTACCCCCTAGTTGCTCCAGAGGCGTGCGACCTCTGATATATACAGCAATTGTAAGTTGCTTTTGAAAGCTAAATGTAATTTACAATCCTAGAGCGAGGCAGCAATAAGCTTACTAAAGGCTAGTTTGGCTATAGCCAAAGTTCAAAAATATGCCTACCAACACCTCCAAAGCTCACAAATTGGCATGTTTGCTATGTATGTGTATTTTATGAGCTTAAAAAGTGCTGGTAGGCAACTTTGGACAGGGCATGGCTAGCTGTTTCCCCCTGCTTCCAGTCTTTATGCTAAGCTATGCTAATCACCTCCTGGCTCTTGCTACATTTTAAGCAATTAGATGTGGGAGGGGTCACGATCTTCTTATTTAGCTCTCTGTAAGAAAGCAAAAAGGAGTATTTCCCAAATGTCAAACTATTCCTCTAAAAAAATGCACTAGTGTTTCACAAAACAACAGACATGAGAAGTGTCTCTAGTTGAATTTTCTCAGTGATAGGAACAAATGTCAACTGCATAAAAAAAACATGTCCATTGGCATCTATTCTAGAGTATCAATTTTCCATTCAAAATGCACATTCAGTCTGCAGTCATTTCCAAAATATCATATTCTCATACGTCTTAGAATACATAATGTCATCAGCTGTCCAAATATTGAACAGTTTATACCAAAGCTGCAGGCCTTGTCAAACATGATCTTACAGGGATTAAGACTCCCGCCTGCAGCTTGAGGGGAAAACTTTCCTCTTTCGTCATCAGATGCGTATGACTGTGTTTGGTTGTGGTGTTTGGCAGCTTGATGGACGACGTTATGTGCCAACACTGCCTGACCTTGGCAAGAGAACAGGTAACATATTATGCCAAACACTGTTAGTGTCCATCCGTATAATGAGTCTGTGTGTCCCCACATCAGTTCTTTAATTAGTTATATTCATTAACATAACTGTAAATGTGTCTGCCAAACAGACAAAGTCTGGCCTTTTAAAATCAGCCAGTTTCTCTATTACGACTTTCACACAATGAACACATGGCTGGAAATGTTTCATTATTTACATTTTCATCTCACAGTGATTGCTCTGGACACTATAATAATCATATTTTTAATTGTCAGATTCAATTCATGGCATTATTATTGTTGCCCTCCTCTGCAGCAACAAACTTGATCTCAGCGTTGGCAGTCCTCGAAGCCATGCTGCTATCTCTGACCTTGTGCTTGAACAGAAATGGGAAGGTTTTCCTGAAGGACTTTTGGAAGGTGGCTCCCATGAAACCATAAACTATGGGGTTCACTGAAGAGTTGGCGTAGGACATGCAGTTGGCCCACGTCTTGATCTTGTATGTGGTGTAGTTGGGCTGGTAGTTTGGATAGAAAGACTGGAAGAGGACGAAGATCTGGATGGGACCCCAGCAGATGGCGAAGAGGAGGACGATTACCACCACCATCTTGGAGACTTTGCTCCTGATACTGATGGTTCTCTCTGACAGGAGGTTGACCTGAGGAAAAGATGAGGAGTTTTCTGAAGGTGTGTTCAGACGAGAGCGGAGACAGTTTTCAGTTTGCGTTATTTGTGTAAAGTTGAACCCTGGACTGGACAATTTGTGGTTATTTGTCCCAAACAGTTAATGTACCAACTGTACAAACATTAGCAGTAAGCTAGAAAGCGTTTTTGGAGCGATGGAAAATGTGCACTAGAGTCCTTCTCCAGCTGAGCCAGTTAAGAAACGTTTGAGACTTCCACTGGCTACGTCAGCTGACTTTCTTTTGCTCCCCGATAATGTAAATGGGATTTAATTAATACAAACAGCTCTTCTGGACTTTCCAAGTGTTACTGGGCTGAATGGATCATATTCTGATGATAAAAAGAGTCATTTCAAAATGTTTGTGCGTCACATGATGAACGCGGAAGTTACAATACCCTTTGGGCCACAACACCAACATCACTTCACAACCATAGACTGTATATAAGAAGTGGACATAGTCATCAAAACGTCACCCATTGGTTTGTGGACTGCCGAGTTTGGCCGATAGGGCGCCGCCACGTTGATTTTTTGCAACCAGCGGCACCGGACGTGACCATATTTGGACAAGACGGTGGAGCTAACGGCCATGTGTGGAGCTAGCTAGCTTGCTTAGCGAGGTGCATCTGTAATTCACATTAACTGTCATTTTAACAGCGCTGACCATTTTGTCTAGGGAACACCAGTCTTAAAACTAAATATACTCACCAGAGAAAGTGAACAGCCAACTCCTAATAAGCTTTTTCAACGGCGCTGATTAAATTTACACAGTGCCACGGGTACGAGTCACTCTAGCCTGATAGATAGATCGCCATGGTAATGACTTGTCAATAAAGAAGCATACTCTGCTTTATGGTCTATTTTCCTCTAAATGGGACCATAATTTACTAAATGAACATCATGTTGTGTTGAAGAAGACATGAAACTAGCTATTGAGACCATAAACTCATTAGGAAAGTGTTTACTGTGGTAATAAATCAGGTGAGAAGTAGGGTCATTTTACCATTATTTCTAATGGAACCGGACTTCTTTTTGCAGAAGAGTCGCCCCCTGCTGGCCGTTCAATAGAATTCAGGTTTATGGGACTTCCGCATTTGCCTCAGTTCTCTGACCAGAAGCTTCCCGGTTGTTCTTTACCCAGCCCTGTTCCTTGATGCTTGGTGTGCACTCAGTGCATGCATGTGTTTGTGTGGCAGCTCACTTTCAAACTGATCTCAGAACTCAACAGGAGTTTTTTTTCCATAAAGCCCCAAGCACAAAATTTACACTGAAACATTTTCAACTTGGACACATCGTCACGTCAACTCGCGTTTCATACAGTAACAGCACAAAACTGTGTAAACCTGTAATTACAGGTTACTTATTGAGGGCAGACTAAATAAGCTGCAACACAACAGTTGATATAGTAAAACCAACCAAACTTACACATCAGGCAGTTACAGAGCAACATTATCATTTATTTGGAGTTGTGTTTCTGGCCACCTGATGAATATGAGTCTGGTTTTTAGTCTCCTTTTAGTTCTGGTATTGCTTTCTACTTGGGCAGTGGCAGAAGAAGTATTCAGATTGTTACCATGGTGTAATAATACTTTTTACTGTTGATGCATTAATGCCTAGCCTACATCACTTTCTTGTTTAATATACTGCTGGGTAGCTTAATCTACCAATTTACCCATCATAATGACACATTATCATTTAATAGTTGATTTGTATTTTGTTTTAATAATCTAATCCTGTAAAGTAATTAGTAACTACAGCTATCAAATAAATGTAGTGGAGTAAAAAGCACAATATTTGCTTCCAAAATGTAATGGAGTAGAATGGAAATACTCAAGTAAAGTACAAGTACATGAAAATGTACATCTTGAGTAAATGCATTTAGTTACATTCTATCACTGCTCTTGAGGGATATATGAGACTCATTAGCTAATAAATGTTCTGCTGTGCTCATCAGATAGTTGCTAACTTGTGTGTCATTTGATGCTGGACAACAGCTGCCTACTGGAATTGAAGAATGCTATGACTGGGGCTATGTGGTTGTAACACAATTTGCTTATAACTCGCTGAATTGTTTAGCTGGAGTTCAAACTTTTATACAAAGTACCCACATTCTTCTTCTACATATGTCACCGATTCAGTCCTCTACAATAATGTCACAGACCTTGTGAGTAGATGTCAAATGCATTGTGTTCCATTGTTACAACCTACCCCACTAATAGGTGAGGTTGTAACACATGCTGGGGTAAGTTACAACAATAAGACAAAAGAAGCAAAACAGATGCCACACCATATGGTATGCTTCAAAAACAGGTATAGTGAAATAAAAGAATAATGTTTCTCTCTCTCTGTAACAGAGTATGTCTGATTGTGTGTGTCTACTAGAACAAACTTACTTAACAGTACACTTAATAAACACTACTACAATGTATCTAATTAAAGAAAATCTTTGTATATCTTTAGGTCTAACAAAAAAACATCTGTGTGTGTGTGAGTGTGTGTGTATTAAAATCAATAAAGTCCCTATGTTTAGAGGATTTTTGTAAGCCACCTCACTCATAATAATAATAATCCTTATTTGTAGAGCACTTTTCAAGTTACAAAGTGCTTTAACAAGTGTAAAGACAATAATACCCAAGAGACAATAATACAAAAAACAAGTCATGTCAGCCGTTGTTTAGCCAGCTGTATTAGCACCTGTTTCCAGGCTTGACAACCACCATGCCTGATTGGGGAGGAAGAATGCAAATGCTAAAATGATCTCATGAATCATATTTCTTCTCTCATTGGTGGATTTGGTGTTGTTACAACTCTCTTCATTTTACAACCATACCTGGTCACCCCTAAGGTTTAGCCAAGTTGCAGGCTGGAAAACTGAGCAATGAACTAAAAGACACTGAAAAGCTCCATAGATCTAAAGGGAACTGCAGAGCAGTGATATAATTCTACTAAAAGCTTACCACCTTTTTAACTACACATAGTCATTTGATCCATTGTTACAACAAAATAATTTATTATAGCTGCTTCAAATAAAGGAGCTTTCAAAGACATTTTCAAAGGCAGCCAACATAAAACACAAGTTAACGAGTATTATAAAGGGACAGGTAGTGCCACCATATCCAGAAGAGAAGTGCTTTTTTAACTTTAACAAGAGGGCTTGTAGTCATATCTTTAAGTTAAGTTTAAGTCAAGTAATTACAGTTAAGCTCAAAACAAAGCAAAACAAACCTTGTCCATACCTGATAGTTGTTGTCTACAGGCTCTACAGTGGGCTGGCCCACTCTTTTCACCATCAGAGTGTAGCAGAAGGAGATAGTGAGGACAGGCAGCAGGTAGGCAGCAATAAACTGGTAGAGGATGAAAGCCCTCTCATGTGTCTTAGAGGGGAATCTCTCCATGCAGTACTGCCTTGGGCCATACCAGTAACCCTCCTCTAAACGCTGGTACATTAAAATTGGGGTGGAGAGGATGAAGGAGCCTGGACAGCACGAGGACTGTGTTAGCAGAAGTAGCTGAGATCATGCACACTCTAATCTTTTTTATATACAATTTATTCATTAACTCTGGTGTGGTGAATAAATAAAAAATTTGAGATGTCCTCAGAGATGATGATGATGAGTAATGTTCATCAAACAAGCAGGACATACCAATCCAAATGCAGATGCTGACGATCATGGCCACTTTTGGGGTGCGGTGGCGGAGAGATTTCAGAGGGTAGACTGTGACGTAACAGCGGTCCCCGCTCATTGCTGTCAGAGTGATACAGGTGGCTTGGACTGTAACCTAGGAAAGACAGTTAAACATATACATGATGTACACATATATTTTGTTCTGTACATGTGTAAATGATGACATGCACTGCAATTTCAACCGTGTCTCCTAAAAAAATACATTTGGATCCTAGAAATGTGCAAGAGAAAATTTATTTGGGAGAAACATAATGCCGTACAGGTTACACTTTGTCAACATAATGACAAAAATATTTCATCTTGCTTTACAGTATCCACCTGTAGAAACTAAAGCATGATTAAACAATTTTATTTTTAGGCACTCGTAGCACTTGGTTAAGTTTAAGGAATGATCATTGTTTGTTAAATAATGAAGAAAAAGTCAGTCAAAATAATAATCTTTTCCTCAACCAAAGTGCCAAATGTACTTTTTTGCTATAAATTTATGTATATTGAGATAAATGTTGTATCCTTATCTCCTTATAAACATAATGTTGGAGCCCAACGAATAGTTGTACCAAGACAAGTTACAAGTAATTCTTGAGTAATGTTTTTTTTGTTTATTTTTTGGTCAACATCTTTGGGCCTATGTAGCCATTACTGTGGTGTTTTTCTACAGGGATTATTTCACCCCACTGCCTCTTGAATTTTCTATTGACGTTTATCTTCTCTCTGTCTCCTCTGCTAACACCCAGTTGATAAACACACATCCCAGTTTCACTGAAACTACATGCAGCACTTCCTGTGGACAAATCCTGTGGTCTTATCCATCCACAGTATAGACTTTACCAAACACTGTGTGTTTAAAAAAAGCGCATGTAAGTTGTATGACAGATGTAAAACGTCAATGATTATTTCTGGTGCTACAGTTTTACAATATAGAAACATGTTCCTGTTTTCTTAGAGAGCCTATCACAGACGTATGAAATTTTAAATAGTTTGGGTGGCCTAATTGCAACAGAAGTTGCCCACCACCTTTCTAATGGTGTCTGTGTATCCGGCCTTATAGTTAATCACCCCTCATTAAGAAACAGAGGAGAAGCTCAAGCAGCTTTTTTCTTATCCTCTAGTAGGCGGCTTTATCTCAGATTTGTTCTACTTGTCTGAGGTTTTGCTAATGAGCTCTTGTGCTTTTAAACTGAAGAGCATGCAGGGGGAGAAAGGGCGAGGGAGGAAGCATGCAGAGGAACAGGAAGAGAGAGGAGGCTGTATTTGCGATAAGTCTTTTTAATTAGCACATGAACAAATCATTCAATTAAATTTTTAATAGGTTTCAATGATGCTTGATTCAATTAAACTTGGGCACATCAGAAGAATGTTAATTTAATGTGGAATCAGAGAATCGTCTCACAGAATCCACATTTTCTTAAAATGTGAGAATTGCAGACATAATTCATATCACATTACCAGCTGACAAAAAAACCCCACTTAATTTTACTCAAGTCTCAAAGTCATTATGTTCTCCATTAGAAAGCACCTCCATGTTTTCTTTTTATACACATCTGTACATTGATTTTCAGTAGAGCAGTCCCCAAAAATGCAAGGACCTCTGAGGGCTGTAATGTGTTATATGCAATTAATCCATATTGCTTTGAAATATATGCTGCAAGGTGAGAAATGAAAGTTCTCTGCATGCTCTTTTCAAAATAGAATCTAATTTTGTCTCACTTCTGTCTCTGCCTCTATTTCTCTCTACACCTTTTATTTTGTGAAGCCAGCACCCATTACCCTTCAGAGCTTTGGATCACATCACATCAGTGTTTCAAAGGATATGATGAGAGAGGCAGAAAGGGGTCATGGGGAGTTCACTGTTTAGGCCACCGAGGAAGTCAGGACCACAATCCCTCAAGATGTAAGAAGCCTGGTGCATTAATACAATCAAATTCAATTTTATTTTTTAAAGCGCCCATTCATAACAGTTATCTCATTACACTTTTCATATATAGCAGGTCTAGACAGCACTCTTTTTAATATTATTTAAGAACTCACTACCCTTAAATTCATAAAAAGAGTGTGTTTAGATCATCTTTCCTAAACCAATAGGATGACTGTGTCTTTAAAGGCTTGGGTGAAAGAACTGAGTAGTAAATAATTCAGAGTAAATAAATAATTACCTCCAAAAGACAAGTAAACACATCTATCTTCACTACGACGTTTGCAAGTTGATTAGGTATAAAATGGTTTCCCAGATTATGTACACAATGAGTAAATGGCAGTGAATACAGAGTTGTTATGATTGATGGTAACAGTTAACTTCAGATCTTAAAATTTTGCTTGAATTCCTACTGGTCACGCAAAACCCGTTCATGTCTTGGTCAGTGTTCTATATTCTATGTGTCATCTTCAATGTATGTAAAATGTAATGGCAGTTCATTAAATAATAAAAATCTTTTTTGGGAACATGCTTATATGCTTTCTTGCCAATACTGAAACCAAACTAAATCCTCTGGACAAATTACATACACTATATCCAGACAAAGGCAAAAATCTCTCCCAACTAATAAAGATGAATAAAGAATAATAGAATAGAAAGAATAATAAATAATACCAGGACAAAGAAATATAGCCAAGTAGACCCTCCACATTTTTCTTTTGATCGTTGTAGTTTATCATATGTAGCTCTGAAGAAAACTCAGATTTATTCAGGAAATCACTTTAAATATTCATTAAAAGAAATTCAGTCAAATATTTATAGTGGGTATTTTTTCTAATTAGTGTGTTAGCTTTTACTGGAAAAGTAGCCTGCATCACTCTTTCTTTCTAAAACTAACAAAAAAAGATCTGAAACTCTGACAACTGCTTTTTCTTGTGTTTCTGCTATTATTCTCAAATTGGGCAGGATAATGTCAAATAATTAGCCTTAGACTCTTTTGCTCCTTATTTCTCCTTGGGCAGGGGGTTAGGGGAAACATGTCAGAATTTAGTAATCTCCAAAAAATTATTATTAAAATTATTTCTGATAAGACAAAGAACAGACTATTGTGAGCAGCAAAAATTCCTCTGGGAGATGACAAAGAGAACTCACAAAGTGGCATTCATGTTATCTTCTAAGTAGCACCTGTTTCATTAAATGCTGAATTGGAGATTTCTTGCACCAAAAGAAGGAATAACAGATGTACAGAAAACCTTTCTGCTTGATTGTGAACACTTACTTTCATCAGCCTCTACCAATGACGCAATGAGCAATCTATTGAAATTGAACTTCGAGGTGACTGCAGCAGATTTTCATGGTATAAAGTTGCATGGCTGAAACGGTAAAGCCCCATTAGTCTGTTTGGAGGATGGTGCTAAAAGATTGACCACTGGGTTATTTAAAAACAGAGTTTGTCCCCCTGGCTGCATGGATATTAGATAATGTGTGTGTGGAGAGGTAAGTTTTGCAGCCAAGATTTGAAAGCTTAATGTTATTTCTATATAACATATCTAACATGGCTGATGGATGTGACACCTTGTGCTCCTCCACCTTCCGTTTGAGGATGCCCCACAGATGCTCAGTAGGGTTTAGGCACCGGGGAGGGAAAATGGCTAATTGGGCCATTAGCCAGCTTTTTAAGTAATTGCTGAGTCTTTATCAACGGTCCTATCAAGCTCCTTGGTCATTATCTGCTATGGAACAATCACTTGTACCATATGAAATAATAGCAGTAGTAGGGGAATCTGTCATGTAATGTTGCTTTAACAGAGACTAACGATGGGTGTAAACACAGCACGCATAGTTCCCTCACCACCTGTCTCACTTTGGTTGTTTTCATTGAATTGTGTACATTTTGAAGTTAACGGTCCATATTTCTTTGAGAAGAGCGGTCAGTAATCCTGTCTCATTACAATCATTAAAAACCTCATTACCCTTCTCACATGCACATGCAATAATAAATGAGACAGAAAATGGTTGGGCCGTTTTCAGACTGAAAAACTGACAAAGCTACGAGAGAGGCCTGCTTGACAGACAATTGCTTTTTTTTAACATTTTCTAAAGGAGAAGGTCCAGGCTCACTCATCGCCCTTAGCAGTCATTGTTTCACCAAAGACAGGCTCACAAGGTACTAGTCTCCATGTTCAGATGAATAAACTAAATCACATTTCAGTGTTTTCAATTAAAAATGCTTTTAGCCTTTGTGCCTCTCAGACAGACATCTTACTCTTTCATGCTCAAATTTGCCGTCTACATTCTCATTTTGGATTCAAAAGAACGCTGAACGCTTCTTTTTTAAGCCTGACAGATCGTCTCCTCCTCCCTTCTAGCTTCATTATGAATGAGGTACATTTTTAACCCAATCTTCAAACAAAACAGAAAACTGATTGAATGTACTGCACTTCTTTGTCAAGCTTGCACAGTGTTGGTCCTTATTTGCATAACCTGACTGGTTGCTTATTAAATAAACATCTTTTAGACCCTCAGTGACAGGACAGCCTTTTAGAGGTATTTGGGTCGGAGGGGCCAGATTGAGCATATTTTTAGAGCTGTCCACTGTGATTAGTGCACAGCTATGTGTAATTACAGTGTAGCATAGAAACGAAGCGTTTTAACATCTGAGCTTCATGCCAGCTCATTGTCACACACTGTGCATTTGAGGATATTTTGATGGCTTTCCTCTTTAAATAAGCTGCGTGGAGTCAGCAGGTTGTGGCTTCTGCTTGGCTTCTGCTTGATAATGCAATTGTGCAAAGAGGAAGAAAATACGTGCATGTAATAACTTCACTGACTACCAGCGGTTTAGGATCACAGTTGTGTTTTTCCTCATTATTAACAGTATGTTCTGCAGGGTGGGGTGCAGAACAGAGTGCAGAGCAGGTTGACATCACCAGCATTTGGATTAGTATCTGCCTATTCACAAAACTGGAAAGTCTACAGAGCGCTTTAGCATCTTTCACCACATTGTTTTGATTTTACCTGCTAAAGTGACATCCGGGATATATAAATAAGTGGGTTTTGATTTATTTTGCCTTTTGGGATGATTGCTTGTGCTTGGTTTTGTCTGTTTGTGTTTTTCTGTTTCATGCTCTGCATGAGGATGGTGGGCGTGTCCTGTGACTCGTGGTTGGCACTCCTCCTCACCATTCTTCAGTCACCATTCTGTTATTACTGCAATCACCTCAGCCTACATTGACGGAGACCAGACTTCCAGTCCCCACTGGATTGTTGTGTCATTTGAGTATGCTCATGCGAAAGCCAACTAGTCTCAACTATGAGAAATTGTCTGCTCTGAAAACCTGTCTGTTTGCTTGTTTGCACCCCTAACGGGATTCCCCGGTCTTTAGAAAATAACTACCGGACCACGCACTCTGAACCCTGGATCACCCAGCTCAGTCCTCCTTCCACAGGATTCACTGGAACACTTTCCTATGCACCAGCCCCTCACTCCGTCAGCACACACTTGGGACAAGGACTCAAACCAAACCCTAGACCCACTCACCTGCCAACAACGCTGAATACCTGTGCTGTGTTTGTCAATAAATAATCCTTTTCCTTTACTCCTGTTTCCGGTCTGCATTTGGGTACTGGTCAGAAGTTTGACGGCCCACAACTTTCATCAACCCAGTTTCCAGACAGGGCAGGCAGATATTTTCAATGAAAAACCTCTGATACACCCAAAGTACACTACCTGCTCAGTACCAAAGGGCAGACAGACAAGGTTAGCAAGTAGCTGGTGAACATAGCGGAGCATTTAGCAGCTAAAGAGCCAGATATCTACCTCAGGATTTGGTGAGATTAAAATCAGGCTCAAAGGAAAGTAAATTTTGAACTTAAGGTGTAATTTAGATGTAAACTCTAAAGGGTATTATGGGTAATCGTAGCTAGCAGAAGTTCACAGAAGATCTCAACTACTCATTGTGGACCTACGCAACAGGCAAGTTGGCTGGTTGATTCAATTCCTGTTGGGAGGTTGGTTGGAAATGTTCGCCTACATGCAGCTTGGAGAAGCATAATTACATGTATTTACACAGGTTTAAAATTAAAGTTAGAGACACAACTCCAAAATTTTGTTTCTCCATGTCTGATGGATGTATAAAAAAGCATCCGTTTCGCTATAATAAGTATTTGAGTTGATAATATGTCAGTGTTGTTTTTACAGCTTATTGTGCTGCCTACCGAGTGGCCAAGAAAATGTCTTTTTGTCCATCATTGGTTGCTTTCAGGTAACATCATACAAAGCTGTCGTCCCATTTAGTTATGCGTTGGTCACCAACAAGCAAGGCCAATGTTGAAAGTGATTGTACTACTGTATGAGTGCAGCTGCAAGACAAAATCCAAGCCACCCAAGTAAAATCAACTCCTCATAAAATTTGCTGTGTAAATGGCAATAGTTGTGTAAATGAAACTTCTTTCATTCTAAACTCTTTTGAAAAACTGTGAATAAAAGCAACACTGGCTCTTTTTGAATTGAAGCTTTTCTTGAGTCCTTTATTGTAATTTTAAAAGGACAAGCTGTGACCTCCATGAGTGAATTACAAAGTTGTATTTTTCTATGACACACAGTTGAGTTATGAAATCAATCCTAAATGTTGTCCCTGTGAGTGAATTTATTGAATTATAATTCTTATTAGTTTTTTTTAAGAGCAAATCCGACATGTTCGATAAATGTCTGCACATGAAAATAGCACTTCTGTGTGTATGTGTGTGTGCAAGTGTGTGTGTGAAAGCACATTTCTGAGCTAAGAAAAACATAATTATGATAGTGATAATATATTTAAAAAAAACATGAGTCATGTTTTTACCTGCTGTAGAAAGGCAACACATTTGCACATGAAGTTGCCAAAGATCCATCCAGGGAGAGGATAGAGGGTGGCAGTGAAGGGGACGCAGCACACCAGGAAGATGATGTCAGTGGCTGCCAGGTTTGCTGCACAGAGAGAAAACAACACACAAGATGTCTGGTGTACAGACTACAGCACAGTGTTTTAGTGTATCTAAGGTTGTGTCCAGTAAATATCACATAGATTCTTTAAATATTTTAAGAAAAGTACCTAAACACCATCCTGAGTAGTAACCAGTCCCATAGTAGTGATACTTTTTAATCATCTGACAAAAGGGGTTATGCTGCATTATTATACTTCAGTTACAGTATGTGCCGGCTTAACGACAGCACATTAGAGCTAAAACAATGACTCAATTAATCAGTAATTGATCCATTGTTAAGTAATTTTTCAAGCAAATATGCTAAAAATGATCTGGTTCCAGCTACTCCAAAGTAAATATTTGTTTTTTTTAGGACATGGACCCCTCTATGAGAACCAACCAGTGTAAAACGTAGTGTGTGTTTTATTAAGTGTGATCATACATTTTACTGAAACTTAATCATAAATGTTTAACTGTCTGCTCCTGGTGTGCTACAGGTGTGAAAATAAATGCAAATAAGCATCCTGAGATTTTGATGAATTCAGACTTGTAAAAAAATATGCTATGTAGTTTAAAATCTGTGACTGTGTGTCCTATACACAGCATCATCTACCAGTTGCAACAAGCAACACCCGTACAATCTAATGTAATCCAGTGCTATTCTTATGCTGTAAGCACCACCTTCCTGAAGGTGATATATTCAGTTTTGTGTGGATTGAACTGTTGTTTCTGTTTCCACTTCGAACTGTATCTGTTTGTGTTAGATTACTCTGAAAAGCTTAGTGGTTAGTAAGGTAAATCTGGTGCACCTGATGTCAAGTGCTGAGAGACCACTTCGGAATCAGCACGTCTGAAAATCCAGTAATACAGTACACCTACGCACACAGACTCGTACAGAAATGTACAAAATTTAAATTCTACATTGTCTACCCAATAGCTTTATAGCACACCAAGCAGAGGCTGCAGTGACAACCTTGACAGTCTGATCTTGTTTTCCCTTTTTCCTGTTTAATCTGTCATTCTGATAAATACGCCACACACTTCTTATTTGTTATGCTAGATGATCTGATCACATTATAGTTCTTGGACCATTATGTTGAAAGGGTGGGCAGATGGAAATCTAATAATGCTGAATATTAAAGGGTTTCATAGCTGTGGCCTTGAGATATATTGTCTATCTATCTATCAAACACAAAGTGCAATATGCAAACACAGACACAAATGGTCTCCACATTAAATCACAGAAATGCACAAACCTTTGCCTCATTTACACACCAAGAGAAAAACAAGTTTAAATATATGTATCTATGTGACATGCCTTTCTTTATTTTATATGTTTTATTATCTACATTCTTATCTTTTGTGGAGTTAAACTTCAGTCACTTTTGCAATTCTTCTAAAGTGGCAACAAAAATCAATCATCCAGGTTTCAAGTCAGTGTGCATGATTGATACACCCCTTTGATTTATACTTGATACATCTGAGATTAATGAATTCCCCCAGACAACATCTATAAGTGCTCTTCTGACCCGGCTATTTTTATGCACATTTCTAATTTGCGCATGGCAGAGGTGGTCAAAACCTAGTGTATCTATAATAACGAAGTTGACAAAGTGCAGTGGATACAGATATCTTCGAATTATCTTGTACCTCTTCTTCTGAAATGACAGCTGACTGGAGAATGAGTGCCAACAACTGTTTCTTGATACACTTTGCAAATAATCACAAACAAGCTGAACACATTTTTAAGCTGAGCTCTATTAAAATTGCTTACTTGCACAAATTAATTTTTCCAAACGCCTCTGGCAGATAATTATTTCACCTTTATAGAATTTCTCCTAAGGTATCCAGTCTTAGAATCAATTTTCAATTCAGGTCAACCCTGAATCTGTTAATCTGTCTTTTCCTCTGAGGATAAAAGTGAAATCTGTAATCAACATGGGCATTCTTACACACAGCTGTGGACTAATTGGACAAATGAGTGAGAAACATCACATGTAACTCCCTTGTGAACCCCTGAAGATCTTTTGAACCCACTGTTGGCATGCAATGAAGAGCTACTGGATAGATGAAAGAGAAGTTTATGCTCTGGGAGTTCATGATAAAGCTTACATCCTAGCCCACTGACCTCCAGGATGTCCTGTGTTTAAATCTGTTTTGGCATCTTCTCTGTCCCAATGTCTCCTTCACAAAACAGAACTCAAACATGCATATAGTAGTTTTTTGTTCTTGCTCACCTATGTAGAAGTTGGTTGCCGTCCTCATCTGCCTGTGCTTGGAAATTACATAAATAACCAGAGAGTTGCCCACCAGTCCGACCAACATGATAAGGGCGAAGAAGAGGGGGACCAGCCAGGCGTCTGTGAGGAAGGGGTGCTGATCTCCCTCCTCCTCCTCATCATCCCCACGTCTTCCCAGAGAGAAGTTCGCCTCAGAGCCGTTGATCCAAACCTGCCCAGTGGAGTTCCATAGCTCCTCGGAGGAGTACATTGTGACAGGACGGGCAAGATAATTGTGAGTGAGGTGAGAGAAAAATTGCTGAGGAAGGACAACGGGCTGTCAGAGGTAAAGACGAAGAGATAGCAATTAGGAGAGCGAATGTGTGAGCCGTCCACTCACTGAGTCCTGGGTGCCTTTGGGCTAAAGAAAGGAGAGAAATGTAGAGATTTGAAAACAGTGTGTGTGTGTGTGGGGGGGGGGGGGGGGGGGGGACTGTGGCAACAGAGCATGAGGGACAAGTAGAGGAAAGGGCAGTAATGAGTGGTGAACGCATGTGCAGAGCTGACTATGGATAATAGACTAAGAGGTGAGTGTTTCTGAGGAAAAACTGAATCTGGGAAAGAAAGGAATGGAGGAGTGAAAGAAAGAAGGGAAAGTTTGCAAGGTGAATGAAAATGTGGAGGGATAGAGGAGATTGAGGGAAATAGTGGTCAGATGAGAAAGAACAAAGAGCGCTCAAGTTGCGGAGTGGTGTTTATTTCATTGCAGCCTGAAGTAGGAACGTAACAAGAGAGAAATGAGATGTGATGTGAAGAGGACTCCGTAGGATAGAAAGTGAGTGAGAGAAGAGAAAGCGCTTCTTTTCTTCAGATCAGGCTGGCAGAAAACTGCCCCTCTGCTGCAACCACGTCACGCATCGGAGCTTTCAAGCATGCTGTGTTTCTGATTGGCGAGATAAGCATGCCTCCAGGCTGCTCTGGAGATTTGTTCACAAGGAGCAGAGTGTATGATGAGGCAGACAGATGTCTTGTATGAGCTTGGTGATGAAATAGCCTGCTTAAAGGTAAACACTCCGGCGTACTCAAAGCTTCCTTTTCTTGAGTTGGTTTTCACCTCTTTGGTCCACCGCTGTTTGTCTCCGTGGCGTAGTTCAAGCATTTGTTTTCTTAACCATCCATGTAGGAAAAAAGAGCTACTTGATTCAGGGAAGGCACCGGCTTTTGTGGGAGTTGATATTTGCTCTACAACCTTGACAGAAGTATGCCTACCAGATATGCTTTGTATAAAAAAAAAAAAATAAAAGCTTCATCAGTTGTTCATTTTCAAAGCACGGCTGAGTTGACTGTAATTAATGTATCAGCGTAAACAACAGCCTTGACTTTACTCGAGCAGAGAGCAGAGAGCAAAGGAGATGCTGACGGCTTTATAGTACGAGCAAGAGCAAGGACTCACAGACGCAGTGGGGAGAGGAGGAACACACACACACACACACACAGTGCGTCTGAATGCACATGGTCTACAGCATGATTCTGAGATACATCTATCAGGGTTTCCTAGCAACGTTATCCCCCAATCCATCTTTTTGTAACAATTTGCCAAAATACACTCTGTGTCTCTCTCCCTCTCATTCTGTTCCAAAGGGAATTACAATAATGTCCTGCAACTACATAGATATCATACCTCTACACAAAACAGAGTGTAAACATGAAATAGCAACAGTCCAAATTACATCTCAGGTTAAAGCTGGTAAGCTTCTAGATAAATTTAGTAAAATAGAAGTTAATTTCCAAACTACATGTACCGATATATAACAGTATATAGCATTAAAACATTTCTCAAAGGAAATTATTTATTATGTATTCAAAATATAGAGGATTATTGTAATATTTTTGTCCACATGGTGGACCTGAAGAAGACCAACAAGCCGATCTGCCCAGTATAAAAAGAAGAAATGCAGTATTTTGCAAGCAGTATTGTGGTATTGGTTTTTCTTACACTGAAGATATTTGCTTCCCAGCACCTGCTAAGAATTTTAGGTTTATGTGCCTCTTGATTAACCTTATGTTGGACAACTAATTAGATGCAGTTTACATAAATCTTAAAGCTCAGTTTCAAAGTGTATAACTTTTTCCTGGCGATAAAAACACTATTTTTTTTATATCAAATGGAATTAAGTGTCAAATTATGTAGTCATGTATATAAAATTGTAAATGAATAAATTAGTTTAAAAAAACAGTGATTACTCCACCCAAACAAAAACAGCTAAATGAATTAATCCTCCAAACAAAGCAGCAGGGCTGCTGCCCAACAAATGAACAATTTACATATGTACATTGTGCACACACTACTAGGCCAGCATGTACTGCCAGATGCAAGTACTGTTGCCTAAAGCCAAGACCACAGATGCTATAAGCTTGCCATATCGCAAAATTGTAAAACCTAACTAGAGGGAAGTAGAGGCATTCATACCAGCCCGCCAGATGCAAAGCCGAGTGGAAAAGTGGCCGCATATCTGGAACACTGATATCCACACAGTGAATTATTGATGCACCTTCGGGCAGGAACCTGCACAAGTAGTGATGGGCAAAGACAGGCTTATGACAGCTTCCTACACATAGAAATGAAGTAAGCAGTCTGCAGTCCCCTGGTCAACTGGTGTTTCCATTCTGGATTTAAATTCAGCTAGTCCCCTGAAGGAGACTACCAAGAGTCTAAGAGTACTTTCAAACCTAACTGGGTATAAAGCAGACGCCAGAGAACATTAAAAAAACACATTGCTGCCCATGAAGTGCTGCATAACTTGCTTGTCTCTAGAATTTGATCTCACGGAGTGCTCATGATGCAAGATTAACTGTCACCAAAACTGTACGATAAATTAGTTACTGCCAATTGATATGGCATCATGTTTATCCCTCTTGATTAGTTTGTAATAAGCCAGGCTCAACACAAAGTAGACCAGAACTAAAAACTAATGCATCATTTTTTATTCTCCGTCAGGACCACATGAACCAAACCAAAGGTGTGAAAGTATGCTAAGAGTTTCTGCAGAAACTGCAGCTTCCCAGGGGCTAAGCTTTGACTAGGATGTCCTTTGTCATCCCTACACTGAGTGTCAAACAACTCCACCTTTGCAAATAGATGTACCATGGCAGAGATGCCCAAACACCAATGCAGAGTCGCCAACTTCTTCTGTGTAGTTCTATAGCTCACAGCTCAATCCTCACAGAACTGGGGCCAAACATTCTGGAGAAAGGGATGTGTTAACATGCCCTGTTGGATTTCTGGCATATCTGCAAGAGTAAACTTCACCCTCACTTTGTGCATTCTTATCAGGTGTGTTGCAAGAGGGAGGGATGGCATAAGAAAGATGTCTGTTCTGAAACGGGGGAGAAGAAAGAACAACTGGTAATAGGGAATTTCAATCGGGGACTTAAAAAAGGTTTCCACCTTTCTGGGATGGAGACCTTGCTGGAAAACTGCTGCCAGATCCTTGCGCATGGACAGTCCACAGGGATAACTAAACTGTGGTGTGCCCACAGCCACAACCTGTGTGGAGAGGTGGGGAGATCCTACAGTAGCCCACCTTTCCTGATGTAAGATTTTTCACACTGTCCATCCTTGAAGGTGAGAAAGAGGGCAGTGGAGGGCTGTATGTGCCTTTTACGATGCGTGGATATGTGCTCAGACTCTACGATAAATTCGCTACTGTTTATAAAAATCCTCTTGTCAAGGGTTGTAATGGTGAAATTAATTGTTCAACATGTTATAAATTTTTAGTGTAGAAATTTGCATAATGGTCATTAATAACGCTTTTGTACAGGAGATGCTATGACACAGGTTTATCAGGTCTATTGAACATGCGTCCATTACGTTTGATAAATTCATATGAAATTGCTGTGTAATTACAGGTTGTCATGGTTCTGGTCTGCAAATGGAGTCCCATACACATACGCAAAACTGTAGAAGAATTACATTACATACTGTACAAAATATTGGAATGTTTCAGTTCTCTCTGCAAGCTCACTCAATGCGCTTTGTCTCTTTCTGTCCTATTTAGAAAAGCTGCAATGTCAGTTAAACATTTAGACGTCAGTGATACAAGATCACAAAGCCGAGTGGTGTCCAAACAGCCTGGTCTAGTGACGCACATTTGCTCATTCTGTCACCAACACACATTTAGCCGGTGCAATGTTTTCTGTAAGGAAGGAGCATAAATAATCTAAAAGAAAACAAACTGTTAACAGCGGAACCGAAGCAGTTTGAGCATTATGTTTGGATCATGCATCCTCTATGACTGAGTAGGTTCAGATTAAACACCCCTATGGTGTTCTTTGTTCCTTTGTCTTCTGGAGCTGTGGCTAAAGGCTCCATGAATGTCATGAGGAGTAGGCTTACAGGCATGGATTACTGGCAATATATGCCAGTAAGAAGAACAATACTAGTTTCCCAGCACTGGCATACCTAAACACAGCTATTTTCAATGTTTTTAGTTACACAAGGTGACATTTTGGAAATCAGTTTTGGCATTTTTACATTAAGCCCCCTATGATAATTGGTGTTTTACTTTGAAACTAAGATTTCAGTTAGTGCTCAGTTTGTCATGGCAAAGTTAAATATTATTTTTTCCATTTGCTGATGCAACACTCAAAACAGAGAACTTATTTCAACAGCCTGTTTTCATAGAAAAACAAAAGCAATCGTGTTAGAGTGGCAGTTATATACTGTAGGAATAATGAGACCAGACAATCGCGGGTGAAGTGGAGCCTCTTGTAAGATCAGGTGGGTGTTTTGTATACTGTTCAACAACAGTTTACCAGTAATTACTTGCACTGGGTGACAGGGGAGAACAATGCATATTTTCTAGCAATTCCTCTTGATTAAGTGTAATAAAGTAACTCTAAATCAAAAAAAATGTTGCATGAATCATTTTCAGTTAAACCAAAACTCCAGCCATTTAGAAGCCAACTGGACACAATTTCATTATAAGTTGACAAAGTGATCGTTTGACCAAATAGTTTGCTTCGAGTTATAACTTGCTAACATGTTTGATTGCAGAGTAAGCAGTCAATGTAGGGTAGACTTTTGCCCTACAACAATGTATAGAGGACAGCAATCCAATTACACTATATCTAAAAGCCAGTCATTCAGATGTTTGGTTGAAGGTATGATGGGAAAAAGATGGGATAATATTGCTATGCTTTTAAAGATGAATTCACGTCAGGAAAAAAAAAAATTTCCTTAGACTGCATGGTATAAATATAAAGCTGTGCAGCTATTTACAGTATGTGTGCAATCTCTGAAGCCCCAATTCCACACACACAGAAATACTTAATAAATAAGCAGTTGAATAAAAAATTGAATAACAAACAAAAAGAAAACCCCCAAAAGGCACAAGAACTCTTTTTTAAAAAAAACGCTAGAAGGAAAAAAGAGAAAAATGTAAGCATCG